TTTTTACAAAAACTAACTTTTTTAACTTAATTTTTGAAAATGTTCAGGAAATACTACGTCCTTTAAACATATATCAAATTAAAGCTTATTTTATGTACTATAAAATGAAAAAAAAAATTTGTCCCGACACTTTATCTTCTGCATGTAAACGGTTGCCGTAGTTAAAAAAACACTATTTTTGTGTTAAAATTTTCGATTTTCAATTTTTAATTTTCAACTTAAAAATGCTATAACTTTTCGAAAAATGCATGTATCAGCACAATTTTATTTTGTCTAAGTATATTATAAGTACATCTTTCATTTGACATACTTTTTATTAAAATTAGACAATTTCCCCTTATATAGGGGGGGTTCAAACTTTGAAACATTGTATAAAAAATAGAACTTTTTCAACTAAACTTTTGAAAATGTTCCGGAAATACTGCGTCCTTTAAACATATATCAAATTAAAGCTTATTTTATGTACTACTAAATGAAAAAAAAAAATTTGTCCCGACGACCTATCTTCTATGCGCAAAAGGCTACCGTATTCAAAAATATGCTATTTTTTTATTAAAATTCTGGGTTTTGTATTTTATTTTATTTTAAAATATCTTATTAGGGGAATAAACTGACTTTCAAGAATATTATATAATTTAATTGACATAGAATAAAGTTCATAAGACATATGAAATTAAATTTATTAAAATTTTTTTACTTTTTTAAAGTCGAAAAAGTAATTTTTTAATTTGAGTTAGCTTAAATAGCCAATTTTATCATGCAACAAAAATCAACGAATAGTTGCCGAATGGGTAACACCNGAATAGCAACGAACAGTTGCCGAATGAGTAACACCTGTATCTTTCAAGCTTAGGGTACGAGGTTCAAATCCCTAGTGGCTATTAATATTTTGCATTTTTTTTTGAGTTAGAATAGAATTTTCAAATCATTTGATATTTATCTCATTTAGATTCAATAATTTCAATAAATATAAAGGATCTTATCACTATAGTCTCCCCTCGTGAGAAGAAATTGATATTCATGTTAATATTATTTTACTATGTGGTTCTTTTTGTGGCTACGATTTATTTTGCCAACCCTCACTAGACCTACTTTTTTCAACGATACGTCAAATGATTCATTTAAGTTTATGATATTTAAGTTAATGATTAGTTTAAGTTATTACTCTTAAAAATCAAAAAAATATTCCTTATTCAAATAAAATGTAGCTTAACCAGCTTTTTCCATACAAACAATTAAAATCATTCATTTTTAATATTCTTAAAGTATTTATTGTCGAATTAGATTTGATATGATAAAAGTATTCAACTACAAAAGTAAATAATTTTACTTTATAATTTATTAATTTTTTACCTCTATTTGTGTGTGCTACTGCCAGTCTATAATATGCCAAATTTTTTTGTAATATGTTGCTATATAAATCATAAATTTAAAAAAGAAATGATTTTTAGTTTCACCTGAATTTAACGATGGATTTTTACAATTATAATTATTTTTTATAATACGCTCATTTGAGTAAATCTTTTTAACTACTTTGTTTTGATTGGTTCATTTAGTTAAAGTAAATTATTAAAATTAATTAAGTTCTGAATATTTCAATTGCAGAATCTTTTTAAACACCAAAAGTTATTAGGATATGATTAATATTCTTTCTATTTCAGTTATCGATTACGATAAAAATGCAAAAAAATCGAATTTTTTTGATAAATGTACTGTAAATATTAATTATAAAATTTCCTGGTTGCATATTAATCTTAAAAATTTAATTTTTTCCAATTTAATAATGTCAATTTCAAACTTGAAGTTGAACTATAAGTTATGGTAACAAATTCATTTTTTAGCTTCGATGCGAAGCTGAGAAGGTATTTTTCATTAAAACTTTCACTTTAAAAGACAATAAAAAGTAGGTTCAAAATAATTACCTTTAACATATTAAAAATCAAAATCACTATTAATTTAATACAATTTTTTTTGTTCTTAATTATTTTTTTTTTATATGTAAATACTTATTTTTTAATAATAAGTAATAATATTAAAACTTAGAAGTAATAGAAAAAGTTTAATTGCACATTTGAAAACATCGCGAAAAGTTTATTTAGAAAAGTATATTTTTTTTCTGATGAAAGTTCCTTTTGTTTAGTGTATTTATTCATAAGTAACAAAATTTTTTTATTAAAAAGTATTGCATAAAT